CCCTTTAGGGGTGGTTGCCAGGATTTGCCGTAGGCGTTTCGTTTTCTAGGAGTGAACCTTAAGATACCCTGAAAATTTGAAGTCTCTAGCACATCTCCTTCTAGTGGAACAGACAGACACACAGACACACAGACACACAGACACACAGACACACAGACACACAGACACACAGACACACAGACACACAGACACGAGGTCGTTTGCATAAGCCCGCTGGATAGCTTTTTCAAAGCAGAAGGGCGGGCTAAAAAGGCTCAAGCACACGCTGAGAACAAATTTGTTCATACCGGTGTGTTAAAAAATGCGTAAGCAGAGCACGTACACAGAACTCAGTAAGCTATGAATAAAAATGTTCATAAGCTTTTAGTGGGCATGTTCAGGCGCAATGATAAGGGTAACGGCATTGAACTACTTATCCAGCTGATACGTACGTGCCTGCTGCCGCGAGGACTACCGCCGCAGGTAGTTGCTGGAGAGTTGGTAGTACGGGTCCGCCGCCGGCCGGTTCCTGACCAGCAGGATGGGCGACACGGGCGGGGCGTTGAAGTTCTGCTCGAAGCGCACGGGCGCGGGGTCGGCCGTGTTGCGGGCGGGCGGCGGCGGGTCCCGGAGCGGCGTGAAGAGTGGGGCCGGCCCTGGTGCCGTCGCCGGGATGGTGGGGTCCAGGGGGCTGGGGCGGAACAGCCGGCCGCCGCGCGGCGGGGGCGGCGGCGACGGCTGCGGCTGCGGGTACGGTGGCCGTGAGTACGGGGCCGAGTACGGCGACGGCGGGTACGGAGCCGAGTACGGCGACGGTGCGTAGGGTGACGGCGTGTAGGGCGACACGTAGGCGTCGTAGGGTGATGGGCCGTCCTGGGCGTCGGCCAGGCCGCCGTCCTTGGCGCTGGTGAAGAGCAGCGCGGGCGCCGCGACCGCGATGGGAGGCGCGGTGTAGCCGACCTGCAGGCACGAAGAAAACATTTAGCCAACGTTAAAACATGGAAGAGCAGCAGGTCTGCGTAGAGAAACTAGTCCTACATTTCCAATGTTTTTCATTCAATCAAAAATGCATGCGCTTGTTTTTGCTTGTTGCTTGAATAAAGAGCATTCAAAAAATTAAGAACATGTTTCTCGAAGCGTAGGCCTCCCAAGATCTCATGAAATATGTTGAAAGGAGAAGAAATAAGCCAAGAAGAGAATGGTTGAGATAGACAGCCCAAAAAAGCGCACAACCGCCAGCTCTCTGCTCCAAATTCTTTAAATTAATCAAAATAAAGTGTGAAAAGGTCTTGATACGGCTGGAGACCGTCCAGGGTAAGGTCGTCTCGGCCAGGCCCTCGTTGCCAGCCCGGGCCGATCGCGCGTGACGCGTGGCGCGTGCCCGGCGAGCACGGACGTCATGTACGGCTGTTCAAACAGTCGGTGTGCAATCCGTTTCGTTATTCTCGTGAGACAGGGCGGCTCGGAGGCGGAGTACTTAGCGGAGGGTCCTTATCCTTCCCATATGCATGCCCCCCACGGGCGGCGAGGCACGGCGCGGCGCGGCGCGCCAGTCGTAAAGAGGGGCATAAAACTTGTATAAACTCCCGACATTTTTGCCGTTGTTGTTGTTGTAGACAAGACACTGGAGAAGTAAAAGTCTGGTCTCCCTCTCCCATACAAACAATGTTGCTGCCGTTCGAGGTACGAGTTTGCACGGCCCTCGGCTGGCGTAGGGAAGGGGCGCCAACGACCGGCGCCGCGGCGGCAGGGCAGGGCAGGGCATAGAGCGGCGCTCTGCCCGCCCCGCTGCGTGCTGAATATGAATGTGTGATCGCGGCGGCTAATCTCACCTCCACATTGCGTTACGGGCGCAATCGCACGGCCGGCCGCTCAACAACGGCCTAACGCGGCTAATGGAGCCAAAAGCACTTCATAATGCCTTTTCGTTAGAAAATGGCTATATCCACTATTATTTTTCTCTTCTTGCTACCTCCGCAGGAAAAAACAAAGGTGCTAATCCGAGCTTACCTTTAAAAGACGCTAAATGTGACCTTTCACACCTTTAGCTGGCTAGCTTCATATGAGTTCCATACAAGTTTAGTGCCTTTGGAAAGGCACGAAACTTTAGTGCCCCAGGAAAGGCACGAAACTTTAGTGCCCCAGGAAAGGCACGAAACATTAGTTCCCCAGGAAAGGCACGAAACTGCGCCCTTGACTTTAGTGCCCGAAGAAAAGGTGTTATTTAGTGCCTTTGTTTTTCTAGTGTCTCTACCCTTTTGTGTCCTCCTTGTTCCGAGGGGAGAGGGGAGAATCAATTTATAACAACCAAGTGTCGAGCGTGACGACGCAAATCTGAAACGAAAATGTCGAGCCGCAATAGAGGGTTTGGGTTTGTTTAACTCTAGCGAGTATTACAACACTTATATTGCTATCGGCGACTCAGGATCGTAAAACGCGTCCAAGCGTACCTCTTGTCCCTCTCTGCCCCCCCCCCCCCTTTCCCTCTCCACGCCTCCCGCTCAGTGTCGCGCGACACACCGCCTTGTAACGTATCGTAAGGAAATGCAGGCGGTGCGCAACGCTCCGCCCCGCTCGGACGGGACTGCAGGGCAGCAGGACACTCTCCGCAGGATACTGCCGCAGGACGCTGCCGCAGGACGCTGCCGCAGGACACTGTCGCAGGACACTGCCGCAGGACCCACATTGCAGGGGAAGGAGAGTAGGGCTCACTCTATGTTGCATCGCATTTGTGGGCCGAAGAAAAGCCCCCCCCCCCCTTTTCTTCACCTTTCCCCCAGTACCTGCATCAAAAGTGGAAACCTACGCTTGCCAGCCCCGTCCTTGTCACGCCATGAAAAATTATACGGTGTTTCAGTACCCCGATTCCAGAGGCGATAACACGTAGGCAAACAAACTGATGCAATTCTTAAAGGATAATTCGTCATTGCACACAGTTGTCAAAACTTTGCAAGAGATCTTAAAATCCATGATACAAATCTTTGCATATACTGGTCCAAGTAAACTTTTATATTTAAATGTCACACCACGAATAATCTGCCTGTCTGTCTGTCTGTCTGTCTGTCTGTCTGTCTGTCTGTCTGTCTGTCTATCTGTCTGTCTGTCTGTCTGTCTGTCTGTCTGAATGTCTGTTCTACCTTACCGCCACACCACGCATAGTCCATCCCTTGACGCCTGACGACCGGAGGTTAGGCAACTCGCCCAAACAGTGCGTCTTACTGTTGCCTAACCAGCAGGCGCCCCTCCTCCTAGAAGTATATACTTCCCCAGACTTTCTCTTTCGAATCCATCCATCCATCCATCCATCCATCCATCCATCCATCCATCCATCCATCCATCCATCCATCCATCCATCTATCCATCTATCCATCCATCCATCCAACCAACCACCTATCCATCCATCCATCCATCCATCCATTCATCCATCCATCCATCCATCCA